AAGGACGCATTATTGGCGGCCAGCGTGCGGCAGCCGGGCAATTTCCATGGCAGGTGATATTGAAGCGCGATGAATGGGATGATTTGCTGTGCGGCGGCTCCATCATATCGAACAGCTGGGTCCTGACCGCGGGCCACTGTGCGTACGGCCGGAGCTCGCTCTATCTGATCTTTGGCAGCGTTGAGCTGAATCCGGAAGAAGCGATAAATATGACGGCCACACAGCTGTTCGTGCATCCCAATTACAATGACAACATGAACAACGATGTGGCCCTGGTGCAGCTGCCACAGCAGCTGATCTTCTCGAGCACAATTCAGCCCATCCAGCTGGTGAGCAGCCAGCAGGCCAGCAACAACTATGTGGGCACGCAGGCGACCATCGCCGGCTTTGGCCTGATCGACGATGAGTACTTGGACTTTTCGCAGGAGCTGCTCTATGCCCAGGTGCAGGTGATCGCCAACGACAAGTGCCTCACGATCTTTGGCTCGAATGTGGTGCTGGCATCGACACTGTGCGCCGAGGGCTATGCGGGCAGCACGATGTCCACGTGCAGCGGTGACTCCGGCGGACCACTGATCGTGTATAGCAGCAATGCGAATGCCTGGATACAGATTGGCATCAATTCGTTTGTCGCCGAGGATCAGTGCACCAGCGGCTATCCATCGGGCTATGTGCGTCTCACCTCGTTCTTGGACTATATCGCCGAGACAACGGGACTGACACTCAGCTAAACTGATGCCGTGGCTAAGATAATAATCAATCAAAAATCCACTTCCTTCTATTTTGCAAATAAAGCGCAAATATATAGCACTCGAATAAACCAAAAACAGATTTCCCCATGCCACGAATGCCACAGATAAGATAGGCCACACCGCTCCCGGCGCCCCGTACACCCCATTCCCTCACACATGATCTCTACCCCATCAGTATCTTCTCTATACCATCACATAGATAGCTCCACTGCACGGCTGGGCCTTTGGGCTGGTGCTAGGCTGGGTGCAAAAGGTTTAAGAGCAAGGGCGCTTATCTTTAAGTGCCTCATTGTTCTAGAACTGACATTAAAGAGGTTCAGTTCCACATGCCAATTATCGATTCATTGTTTTAGTTTTAATTGATATCGTTTGATTGCCCTATTATGGGACTTATTATATCTTACTATCGAATCAACAGGGCTAGCCTATGTTTGATATCATTATCGACTCCTAGCTTATTTCAAATATAGATTTTTTGAAGACGTTAGAAAGACTTCTATTTTTATTGATATCGATTGGAGCATTAGAGAGTTTGTCCAAAAAAAATAAAAAGTTGATATTCTACTTGGACAGCTCCATATTTGACTTTATTCCAGAGAACAAACTGACAGAGAGAGGGAAAGTCGACTAAATGGGCAAGACAAAGCTTAAGTCAGAGAGATGTATGCTGACAGAAATACTTAAACAGAGAGAGAAAGCGAGAACGAGAGAGAGAGAGAGCAAAATGAGAGATAGAACGAGAGAGGAAGAGGAGAGAGAGAGAGGGAGAAATCTGCTGACACAGAGGGAGAAACAGATAGAAAGAGAGATAGAGAGAGAGAGAGAGAGAGAGAGAGAGACGAACTGACATGCAGAAAAGGAGAGATATAGAGAGATGGGGTATTGTATATATAAAGGGAGTGAGAGTCACTATAGAGAGAGAGAGAGAGAGTATGTAGCATACACACACACGAAAGAGACAGGTGGGCGAACAGTCACACCCATGGGGCTCAAAGACGGGAATGAAGACACGGCGGCTTAGAGTGAAAGAGAGAGAGACAGAGAGAGCAAAACAAAGTTTGGTCCATATGCAGAGAAACAGACTCAGACACTTCCGGGGAGAAAGAGACCGATAAGTATATCTAAAACTTATACGCACCCTGGCTAGACGCCACATGGCTTTCGTGGCAAAAGCCTCGCCAAAATCTCGCAGCAGCAGATAGAAGATGCACTGCTTGGTGCCAGAGCCCATGGTGGCCTTGTCCATGGTGCCGCACATCAGTTCCGAGTTGCGAATGTGAATCCCTGCAGCCGAAAGAGACAGATAGTTATTAAAAAGAGTGAGCAGACCAGGTATACATAAGCAGATGACGTACAGGAATCGTTGACACAAAGATCCATGTTGCCCGAGTAGTTGCGTCCCTTGTTCACCATGTTGAGCCGAACAATGGAGTCGTCATTGGGTCGCATTAGCAAACTAAACAGTTGCTTGCCCGTCCAGAGGCGACGCGGCTTCCAAATGGCTGGCGGCGGCATCTGGATGCGCATGGTTGAGTCCTCATTGGCCAGAAAGCAAGCGGCTAGCTGCATCGCCTCCTCTTTGGTAAGAAAGACCTCCTTCTGGGTCAGCAGGTAGCCGCCCGTAATGAAATCCTGTGTGGCTGCAATCAGGATTTCACCATTCTTCGGCGTCACCAGATTCGATTGATTGCCCATCAGGATTAGGGCCTCGGCGCGTGCCTCTTCCGTCTGTGGCAAGTGCAAATTCATTTCATCGCCATCGAAATCAGCATTATACGGCGTACAGGCGCATTCGTTAAAGCGGAACGTGCGCTGTGGCTGCACTTTGGCGCGATGGCACATGATGGACATCTTGTGAAGCGAGGGCTGGCGATTGAATAGAACGATGTCATCGTCGCGCAAGTGCCGCTCCACAATGTCGCCGCACTTGAGCTCCTGGGCGACCTTTTCGCGATTGCCATAGGCCAAGTATTTCTTAAAGCTCGAGCCGCGCTGCTGCACGTAGTTGGCGCCCGGATGCATGGCGGGTCCATTGCGAACCAATTGCTTCATTTGCCGTATATTGGCGGGATTGACGCGCTCCGGGTAGGTGAGTATCTTGGCCACGCGCACTGGCACGCCCACCTGATTGATCATCAGATTGGGATCAGGTGAGATGACCGTGCGGCCACTGAAGTCCACACGTTTGCCGGACAAATTGCCGCGAAAGCGTCCTTGTTTGCCCTTCAGTCGCTGGACAATGCCACGCGTTGTCTTCTTGGGCGCCATATTCAACGGGATTCCACTGATCTCACTATGGAAATAGAGGGCCACATGCAGCTGCAGAAAGTCCCAATCCTCATGTATTAGCTCTATTTTACCACCTGTGGCCATATGGCGCTGTATGACATCGTTGATCAAAAGAATTTCGCTCTGTTTCATGGTCAGATCATCCTCCGTGGTGCCCGCCTTCACCTCTGACAACACAGAGGGCCTGATGCAGGCCGGTGGCACAAAGACACGGGTGACAATCAAGTGCTTCGGATGCGCACCACGCGAGCACATGCCTAGCAAAGCGATGTCACTTTGCGGTATCTGCTCGAACAGGTCGAGCACCATGAGCGGAGTTAGCTCCTCTGCTGCGCTGTAGTTGCTTAGAGTTAAATTCAAATCCCGATTCAACTCAGTGGAGCGTAGCATCTCTTCCATGTGACTGGTAAAAGTGGCATCCTTTTTGCGACCTTTGTATGGATCGTGGAGGATCTTGAGTAGTCCGGGCCCCTTCTTGACACCTCCATTGGCTGCATTGCAATGCGGACATTTGGTCACCTTCTTGGCCTTAGCGAGCATCTGCGAGTGCAGAGCCTTCTTGCCCAGATATGAGAAATTGGGGTTGTGTAGCTTCTTCTCGAATACCGCACGATCCTCTGGCTTCAGCATAACACGTGCGCATGTCTTGCATATCATTTGTAGAATATTTATTGTCGATCGGAAGTGTCCGATGTGAAAAACAGGCAAGGCTAGATCCAAATAACCAAAATGTCCAATGCATTCGTTTAAGCCCTGGCCACAAGTTTCGCAGACGGCATCCTTGGTGCTGATGCCCATCCGACGATCGAGTACTCCATATGGCACCGGTTGCCGTTGTGCCTGATACAAGTTCTTTGAAATAATGCGGACTAGCGATTCCTGTTGAATTTCATCGGCGCCGCTGATGCCGAATTGCACATGTGAGCTGCACAAATTACAAATCAATTAATTATCTGTCACTGCCAGCTATAGCAAACTTACATTTTCTTGTTTAGCGCCGAGGCGCGAAACTGCTCTTTAGGCATGTCGTCAATTTAATGGAACCACGGCCAAAAATCACAAATATTCAATTTTTATTTAAACCATATGACAACACGCTGCCGGTCACAGTTCTGCATCTATCGATATGCTGAACAATCGATACTTTACTCAAAATGGCAATTCTAATTGGAGGCCACCATAAACGTTTTTCCAATTAAATGACAGTCCAATTCACAATGTAATCCTTATTTCACATATTTTTGAAATAATTATTGGCTCCATACGATTACAGTGAAATATTTATACCTAAAAATATATTTATTTCTGTCAATATAAGCACGGCCACACTTTGCATTAGCATCGCGGCCTTAATATAAAGATTGGATCAAAAAGACTAAATTATCTGCAAAGCATCTTCAACAGCTGTTTCTTTTAATTTCGCGGTAATTAAACATTGATCGTATAAAAGTAAAAACTGTTCTGAAAAATCAAACATACATATATGTACATATTTATTGAAAACTCGTTGCGAAACGGCTATCGATATATACTTATTTAAATTTTGAATTTTAGTGCTTCATAATCGTTAATCGATCTCAAATGACTTAAGTCTATTTTGAATACTTTTCTAACATTTTATGACACTTTAGTGCAGCTTTAAGCAGACTGACATTTAGTTACATTCTAGCAATAAAATTAGATTGCTTTGAGAAAAAAATCTATTATGTTGTTTAATCATAAATAATATATTTTGTAGAGGCCTTCCCAAATCACTTGTACCGGATTTACACTATACATTCCAAGCAATCAATAACCATCATAAACCAACTCAATTTAACACAATTCCAATGCAATTTCGCAATATAATAAAAGAAAAAAATTGCTCTAGAATATACACATTCGATGCTTGGCCCAATCGTTACACATCGCGATACGCGATGTCTTCGCACCAACGTCTTTGAATTGATCTATCGATATTATGTTACTTTCTGTACATCACTATTAGTTCACAGCAGTTTGTCGTCTTACCTCCGTGGAAAATCAGTTGCAAATCGCATTATTCATTCGCATATAAAAGCCAGCGTTCTATGCCATTATTGTGTTGAAGATCCTTATAAGATTGCATTATAAACAAAAAGGTAAAATTATATATGCGAAGTGGCAGACACAACCTCAAAAAAAGGTTAAATGGCGTGGCTGCTTTCATTGTGACTGTGCATGTGCATGATAGTGTGTGTATTTATAAATATATGTGTGTGTATGCACTAAAAATTAAAATTACGTGCATTGTTGGCGATAATATGTCTTAGCAACATATTAACTATTAACGGGGCTGACTTGTTGGCAGACAAAAAGATAACAGTGAAATTATAATTTCGCAAATGATAGCAACGTACATGAAATGTTTGTTTGTATGCGTGATTTTGCAAGCCAATAGTAGTACTATTTAGCAGAGGAATATCCCAAAGGTTTTTTTTCTTTATATGTGTAGCGTACTGCGCACGTTTCGTTTCATTTCGCTGTTCGCAACGCAACAACAAAAACAAATGATCGCGACACACACACATAGACATTCACGCACACGCAGCCACACTGTTAAACAACATTGAGTTAACAGCTGGTGGGGAGGAGTGGAGACTGTCTCCCTCTGTTGGGCAACATGCGTAATCAACATTTAGCATATTGTTCAAACGTTTTTCAATATTCAATGTGAAATTATTTGCGATTGTAAACAAATGTGCAATACATATGTACATGTGTATTTATATGTCTTTCATTTCATTTCATTACAGACTTTTTGCAGCAGCTGCACAAGCACACAGCAACAACAACTGACCAAAAAGCAATTCGCGTGGTTTAGCGCTGCCAGCGGCCATCGCAAAAAAAAAAAATAAATAAAAAAAAAATCGCAAAGCAATTTTTTTTACAGTTGCGCAAAAATTCTCACGTGGCAAAAAGAAGAGCGAAAAGCAACAACAACAAGAGTTGTACTAATCAGTTACGGTTAACCAACATATAAATACCTTCATCTATATATATATTTATATATACATAAATAGATATATATATATATACTGAATCAAAACAAAACCGTGCGAAAACATCTGTGTGTGTGAGCAAGACAAACACATATAGAGAGTGAGAGCGAAAGAAAAAGAGAACACCAGATCGAAACGTTGAGAATTTGAGACGTCTGTTGAGGGGAGAGAAGAGATTCTTCATACACTTCCTTATCTAATTCGTGAGATTGCATTGCGCACCCCAAGCAGGGGAAACATAATATCTTATATGACTTTTGAAAGATTAAGTGGTAAGTACCTCTCAATTGTAAACCCCAGAACACGAGATGTGTCTATATATATATGTATATGTATCTGTATAAACATAGCTATTATCCCATTGCCCATTATTATTTTTCCACAATACATAATTGGATATTAAGTATACGGGGAAAGCTTAATAGATTCAATAGAAGCTAGCGCATTGGAGTCTAATAAACTTTCCACTGCAGCTAGAAACGTTTTCGACCTTGAACCAAACACCTACAAGACGATCTAGTATATATACTCATTTATTTTGCAATAAATATGAGGATATTCCGCCATACATTTGTAGCTTAACAGATATACAGTGAAAGCCTAATAGAGTGAACTTGGCAAACCTAGCTAAAGCTTTTTACAGAGCCTCTATTGTAACTGATAATATAATAATATAATATACAATGAAGACTACCTAAGGCGAATAAGCAATATCAGATCTAGTTTTGAGGCTAGAAAATGTGTACTAAGGTATATTTGATTACTCTATATACGTAACATTTTCTCTCTATATACCACGCCATAAATATATTTCAGTATTTATATAACGCCAAATTTATATATGGAACATACGAATATATATGGTACCATTTTTAGAGAAACCACAAATAAAAATAGTTTATAGCAAATTAAATTTGATTCATTCAATATTTTATGAAATTCTTAATATATACCTGTAAGCACACACAATCTGCTTTATTCAAAGCAACTGTAATATTTCTATTACAAATTTCCGATTTAATTGGCAATTTGTGGCACATTTTCCAGCAATAATGAGAAAGAAAGAAAAATAGCATTCCAGCGTTTTCTTTCGTTACGCCTACGCAATTCAAGATCATGAGCGAAATGAACATCATTATCTAGCAACGTGTACTTTTTTTCTTATATATATACGTGTATGCTTGTATATACACATTCATATAGGCATATCTGTTGAATGGTTGTGTGTGTGCTCTGTTAAGCTTAATGTGCGCATGCCGTAACCGATCAACTAATACACACACTTACATTTACACATATGCAGATTTACCTATCTATACACATACACACTTACACTCATTCATCTACTTGCTTGGCATATACATATATTTACATATTTTATTTTTGCTGCTGCTCAGTTATTTAACAGCGCACTGTTAGACGTCTGTTTAGAGTGGAACTAACCGCAATTGTTATAATTTTAAGAGCAACCAAAAGACAATGCGCAATCAATTCCAATTAAATGGCCCTGCTTTTGTTTTGTCTCTTTCTTTCTTTTGCTCCTCCTCCTCCGCCTCCTCCTCACCTGCTCTGCATGAGCAGCTTTGTTTACCAATTCCGTTTGCATTGGAAAGCCAACTCTTTTGGTTATTCAATACTTATTGAAAACGACAACATAATGATGCAATGGAGTATATCTAGTCTATCTGATAACTGGTTATATATGATCGGATTCGATTTACGTGTTAAGTAAAATAAATTTTCCTCTAAAATTTAGATCAAAATTAATGTTTGACTGTGTATAGGATATTATCTAGTCGTTTATAGCATACTTGTCGTACTCTACTTTGTTCTTCATAAGCCCAATTGTATTCTAGGATATCTCTCACGTTACGCAGCAAATCGAACTTGATTTTAATTCCTTTGTTCAATTTTGTTGTTGCTCTCTATTTTTCTATTGTTTGTTTCTTGTTTGGCACTTTGCAAGCAGCCAGCAAACAACCGCAAAACAACGCGATGATAAAAGTGAGAAACCAGTTTTTGGCATTGGTGGTGGTCGATTAAACTGCCCCGCGCGTAGAGTAGCCAATATAGGGTATGTCGGATCCGCTTGCTCTAGGTCGCAATTTAGTATCTTTATGCAGTTATGTGAAGCAGTTAAATAAGCTTAACATTTTCTTAAATTACAGTGAAAACTCATATTGAGTGGATAGTTTACAAATGTCTTCTATAATTGAGTATAGTTCAAGCTTTTATTTTGGCTTATCAAGTTTGTATTTCTGCAAAAAGATGGTATATTGTTGTGTATGTCTATATAATATATATACTATATATTTTTATATGTTACTTGTGCCTTGTGCAAAGCTCGACTATAACATATAAAGCTGATCTAGATCCTTTATATTGTATGGAATAGAATTATATTCTTATATCATATAATCTCCAATAAATCTGAGGCTATTTTAACTATATAAAAAAGCATATATCCTCAATAAGTCTATGAGTCCATTTGAACTGCATAAAATATAAATAGAAAGCTCTAGCTTCTGCCTTTATAAATGAATTATATTTTTAAGTTCTTTCTCTCCATCTATATATAGATCTTTTCAGAAACACAAGTGCGCTCGTGGGTGTTCGCTTGAATGAGTTTTCATTGTTTGATGCGTTTGACATTTAAATTGTTTTTATTTCTTTTTTTTTTTTTTTTTTTTTTTTTTGTCACTGCGGAATTTCTCATTTGTCTCTTGTTTACGTCCATGTTCGAGCCCCACGACATTCGCATCCTGCGCTTCGATTCCTTTGTGTGCAACAGTTGTTGACGCTATCCAATTGCAAATATTTTCTTATTTCTTATTTTCTCGTCAACTAATTGTGCCACTTGTCTTGCATCTTCTCTCTGCTTCTTTGAAAATGCAATGAAAATTCTGTTGGTTAATAATAAACTGTGAAATGAAAACTCGAAAGTTTTCTTTTTTCAATCACGGCAAGCGCTGAACGTGCCACCAAGAAATATATATATATATATGTGGGATATGGAATATATGTACATATATATATTATACATAAGTTTTTATCGCTTAAATTGCATTTGTCATGCGATTCTAAAAAAAAAAAAAGTATAAAAAATCAATTTCATGGTTATTTAAGTGCACAAATATAATGAGCATTATATATACCCTGTAGAGTTGCTATGCCTCTGCATAGTTAACTCATCAAAGTTTACTTTTAATTGAACTCGAACTAAATAATATATATAAGAAAAATATTTGAATGAAATGGCAATTATGCATATTATAAGGTATACAAACAAGGATCGTATCAACTATACTGTCTATACTATACTATCTATCAACTACACTATATCTCTTATTAAATGTACAGGGTATTCAGATGATGCACACTCCCTGTCGACTGATAAGTTCAATCTCCATTTAATCTTTATTTGCAGTGCAAGAATCGCTCAGCATCCACAATAGTTGCTCTCTCGCTCTTGCCCGTACACTCAGCTGTTCGAATGTGCAGCCCATTCACTTTTGCGCTCTCTCCTTGTCTCTCGCTCGCTCTCAGCTGTTTGCCAGTTGCAGCCCGAGTCCATCTAGGCGCTCTCGCTTGCACAACAAACAGTTGTCAAGTGTGCTAGTGCATGTGCCCAGCTCTCGCTCCCGTTGCCTTCCCTTTCCCGCTCACGTGCTGCTGCTGGCTGGCATTGCGTGACCTGCAGTTGTAGTTCAACTGTTGTTGTGCTTCCTTTTGGTATTACGGCTGCTTGCTGCTGCTGCTGCTACAGCTCCTCTTCCTCCTCCTCTTGTTATTGTTGTTCCTGTTAGTGCTGGCACTTTTCACTGCTTTGCCATTGGCTTTCTGTTGCCTACTTTGCGGCTGACCCGAAAACAAAAGCAGAAGCACAATTTTGCATGCAATAAGGCGTTTAATTGGCGCCTAACATATGCTAGAACCGAGCTGAGAGTTGCATTCTACGAGTGGAGCAGGAGGCGAACTGGTTGGGCGAGGGTGTGTGGGGCTTGGTTGGCTGCCTCTGTTAAACATATGTTTTGTTGTTGTTATTGCTGCTGCTGCTGCTGCTGCAAAGGGCCATGGCACATGCGCATTTTGGGGCTGCTCTGTGCTGTGCCGTGCGTGTCCCGTGTGTTCCATCCCCGACACACACACGTACTCGCTGGCAGGACTTGGGCTCTCAGCATCGCCGTCAACAGTCAGTCAAGTTAGTTTATTCGTCAGCGTTAAGCCCATCGCAAGTTTTTTTCCGACATTTTCCTTTTCCCCTTGTTCGAATTGTTCGCGTTACGTGAAAAAATTTTCCACGCAGTGCGTGCAACAACAAAAGAAAAGTTGTAAGCAATTTATATATATATATATATATATATATATGTTATATATATATACATATATATAAATTATATATGTGTATCAGATATATCTACGCACATATATATATAAACGCCCCAAAAAAATCTAGAAAGAAATTCGCAGAGACAAAAATTTCGTGCCAATTGGCATTGTAATTATTGGATTTTTCCTCATATATATAAATTAGGCGTGTGTGTGTGCGTGTGTATGTGCAATGAAGTTCTTGTTGTTGCTGCTGCTTTTTATATAAAACGATAAGCTAAACTACACTAAACTACATACATACATAATTCGCTCTCTCTCTCTCTCTCACACACACACACAGACACATATGTGTATATGTGAATGTGTCTGGCAATTTCTGTAGAAAATTTCAATAATTTATTTGGGGTTTTTATTTTCTGCACTGGGTTTTCGGATATTTTGCAATCAATGCAATTGCCTTGCATTATTTATCGTATAGGTGCATAGGTATATTTAAGTATATCTGTATACATATATTGATGTGTATATATAGTTTTCAAATGTCACACACATTAAATTGGTCCACGAAGGCAGCAGAAGAGCACAGAAAAAAAGAAACAACAAACACACATAACTTATGAAGAATCTCTTCGATGAAACACGACGATTAACAAATATATCGATATAGAAGTAGCAGTAATAGCAACATGACTTTATTGAAGAATAAGAGCAAAGCAATATAATCGATCCTTTTTGGTCGAAAGCTCAAGCCGAGAGCTCGCATACACCGAACACACACCCACACACACATGCATATGAATAACATATGCCATTTGCCGTTATTTTGCGTTGAGCTATTGCTCTTTTGATCGATATATGTTAACGATAACGATAGCATATTCAAATCTCACATAAATAGCGAAACGTTAAAGATAACAGCCAAAAACGGTAAACGTAACAGTGACTGCAACATTAACAGTCAGCGGACTGTTAACAAAAAGAATAAGAATAAACAGCAACAGCAGCAGAAATATCAGCAGATCCTGTTAGTCAACGCTGTGCTGCTAACATCAACAACAACACTTATAATAATAATAAGAATAATCATAACAATACCAACAACAACAACAACTGCCAACTGGTTAAACGTCATCAACCTGACGCCGCCGAAGCAAAAGAAACTGTCGTTGACGCTGTTGACGTCGTCGCCGTCGCCGTCGTCGTCGTCTTCGTCGTGGTCATCATCGTCCTCGTCGCCGTCGCCGTCGTCGTTGTCGTTGCCTTTGCCATTGCCGTTACGATTGCCATTGGCATTGCAATTCCTTGCGGCACTCGTTCAGCTACTGCTCGTAACAACCAATCATAAAAGCGAGCTGCATCATATGCTGTGCGATTTAACCATCCAGCGACATACTGTGGCCATTACCTATGACCTCAGCGGTGAGTTGTTAGCTAGTTAGTTAGTTAGTTCAACACATACCCACACACAAACAGACACAGAGGCACTCAGAAGGATGCAATAATACACCACAGGACGCCAGCCACCACACCACATGCTTATGTGGTGTATTTGATTTTCGTTTCATGTTTGCTGTTTAGCTACGAAGTAGTTTGCCAGCAGCTCATCAGCGCCTCTGTTAAGCTCCGCTGTTAAGTCAATGGGCGGAAATTCCCATGGAATAAATGTATTGTTATCGTATGCAATAAATTCTCTTATTTGCGAAAAATTTGAAGATTATGAAATGATCATTTTGTGCTAATTCTTTCGTGCGGACCTCTCTTTAGCTAACTTGTGAAAATTCCCGTTGCATAAGCGTTAACATTGTCTGTCCACTCGACTGGAGCTGATCTAGCAAAATGTAACTCTTCAGCTGTGTGAAAAATGTCTTTAAGAAAATCGCTCATAGACTGCATTTAGCAATTCAAATTCTCCAGGAAAATTTCTGCTATTTGTTCGTTTGAAACAGATTTCAAAATGTAATTTGTATATACTCGTAGTATATACAAATTTGATTTAGCTTCAGTATTTAACATTGTTTTCATGGAGTTTGCTGTCAGTTAGACGTTTGGTCGACAGCAAACTCTAGTGAAACACTTGACATAAGGCATTCAATTTTGAAATTATTCGATATATACCCTACGAAATTCTCAGTGTAAATCTCAAATTTGCAGTGACTGGCACTTACTCCTCTCCTCTGTCACTCCTGCCCGTTGATGAATAAGAAATGCAAATGCAAATGCAATTCAAATTGGACGTGAAATCAAGATAACAATCCGCTGAAAAAAAAAAGATATATATATATATATAACAAATATATATATATATATAGCTTATAATATATATATATATGTATATTCTTATATATGTATATATATTATAACACCCACTCACACTCCACTCGCACACTCACACACACATACACACGGAGACACAGCGATATCGTTGCATTGCGAAACGAAGTTGCATTCACAAAGTATTTTTGATGTGGTCTAAATTTTGGTTAAGCTTTGGTTCGATATTACTCCGTGTAAAAAGAAGAGAGAGAGCCAATGCTAGCAGCTCATATTATATGCTTTCGATGAGGCGGTACTAAAACGGCTGGAGTAAGAGCGAGAAACCCCAATCGATCGTTCTGGCCCCATCCAACCGCTCTAAATCACTACTACACACACACATATATATATATATATATATATATATATATATATATATATATATATAAGTATTTATATATATATATATATATATATATATATACAAAACTTCCTACACAATAGTCATCATATACACACACATACACACCCAAACACACGCATCAAGCTAAAGACCTAGACCGAAGACTCAATTCCTCGAAAAAGAAAACGTATATGGTATATCCTGTTTGAAGTGTCCTTACTGTGTCGAAAGTTGGCTCCCAATGTTCACTTGCTATGAAACGTACCGAAAGCTGGACTAACGGTATACCTATGTTGGTAAGCTAGGGCTCAATTACTATACAGATATATGTATTTCTATATATATAGATGCATCTGATCTATCCAATATCATCTCTTTTAACATAATTTCTCTTCTTACAGAAACACCAGCAAAAAAAGGCGCACCTCCAATTCCACAAAAACGGAGTAAAAGCTTCGAACTGTGCATGAATTCAAAGAGGCGAACCATAAGTCATCGGTAAGTGTTATGCTACTTCTACCATAGCTCTATTATTATGCAACATATACCAGATTCAGTAGTTTTCTGTGAAATAGGTCGAAAGAGCACAGCTGTTGCTGTTATCGATTATAAGTCCTTTGGCCTTTGAAGTGTTTAGCACGCATTTGTGCCCTCAAATTAGCATAAATTATATTTTTATATATTCTCTATAATTTGAGCTGCTGGTGACAGTTGGTTAACATGAGCCATACTTCTGAATAGTAAGGGAAAAATCAATATTTAGCAATAAATATTAAGAAACTGCCAAACATATTACATTTAAGAACTAACAGCTGTTAGCTACATGTGTAACTTCTAAATTCAAATATTAACTAACAAGAGTTAGTTTAGTCTAAAAATCAATGATATATGAAAAACTTATTTTAAGAACGATCGATATGCCGAAGCTTATCGATTTTTGTATTCGATTAACGATGAATTTTGTATTCTTCCTCCCACTTATAGGACTTCAAGTAATAGGCATCGGAAGTTACAGCCGTTCAGGTACACGTGAGCCAACCGTACCGTTCCAATAGTTTTTTACTAAACATACAACAAAAAAATACATAAAAAACAAAAAAAAAAAAATTAAAAAACTTAAAAAATAACAAAAAAAAAACACCAATAGCTAAGACTATGCCAGATATATAGAGAGCATATAAATACTACTATTACAGTAAAGCCCGCACTACAAACCGAAAGGAAGGGGAAAAGGAGACGGCAGAAGGAACCACAAAAACAAAACAAAAACAAGAGCAAAACTAGAAAGGAAATAGTAGCAACTGAAGATAACACCAACTAACTAGATGAGAAAGCAAGTATAGGTTCCACAACTCCCAAATAGGATCCACAACCCAGCATTGATAACGAAACTTGGGAAGCCTATAGCCCAGTTTTAATTTTGTTCTTTTTGGATGATCGTGGACGACGACGATTGCTACTAACTAGACTCTCCACAAGCAAACATACCTGCCAGAGAGCTAGCGAGCGAATCAGCTAGCGTGAGTAAGAAACAGAGAGAGATTCTAGAGATCAGCGCGATCAGAGCACAGGTTAAGCCAAAAACAAATTTAATGAACGGGAACGAGGCGCAACGAAGCAATTGCAAAATAGCCAAAATAGCTGAAGTCAAGAAGTTGGTGCTGCCAGCCGCACAAACCACCATAGACAATTGGAATTAGCCGATCCGATACGATCCTGATCAGATCTGATCCCCGTACCCCCTGAAAAACGCTGCCAGCACTACACCCACGTACACACACACACACACACACACACACCGTTACAGACAGTCAGCAATCGGCACCTGGATCTAGTTGAAGCAACAATAATTGAATCAGTCAAGAGTCGTTCAATCAATCATTCACTTCAAACCAAACGGTACTTCGGAGCTTCAACATGGCGACCGTCAACGTGAATCGCAGTGTTACGGATATCTTCTATCGCTACAAAATGCCACGCCTCCAGGCCAAAGTGGAAGGTAAAGGCAACGGCATCAAAACGGTCCTCGTCAACATGGCCGAGGTGGCAAGAGCGATCGGAAGACCAGCTACCTATCCAACCAAGTACTTTGGCTGTGAGCTGGGCGCCCAAACGCAATTCGATCATAAGGTAGGTATTATATAAACATAAATAGAGGTAAAACTGAAAATGTAGATCGATCAAAAGCTTGTCTTTCAACTCTCGATCCTATCTATACATAACTCTAATATATTTATTTAATCAATTTCGTAGAACGAACGTTTCATTGTGAATGGATCGCATGATGTGAACAAGCTGCAGGATTTGCTCGATGGCTTTATTCGGAAATTCGTACTCTGTCCCGAGTGCGATAACCCTGAGACAAATCTAACTGTCTCGGCCAAGAATCAGACCATCTCGCAGTCGTGTAAGGCCTGTGGCTTCCATGGCTTACTGAAGGTCAACCACAAGGTGAATACGTACATTGTGAAGAATCCGCCATCGTTGAATCCCGCTGCTCAGGGTTCATCACTAACGGAGGGCAAACGCTCGAAGCGTGTTCAGAAGCAAAAGAATGAAAACTCTGATGGGTCGATGTCCAACAATTCAATGGCCAACAATTCTGGCGGCGAATCCGATGGCGGCAACGGCACCAACCATGCCAGCCAAACGGAAGCCGAGATTAGCGCTGCCATACCAGAGAAGAGCATAGCCGAGGATGACGACGATGGTGGCTGGAGCGTTGATGTTTCCAAGGTAAGCTACGAAATGCAGGTGAAGATCTAGCCAGAACTGTAACTTTGTTAAATGGCTGTAGAAAATAGTAAAGAGTCATGAAAACCTACTAAGACAAAGGGATTGCAAATAGTAGCAGAAGTTACGTACTAACTGTTAAGACTCTGTTAATGTTACTCTGTTTCATAAAAAGCTGCGGTTAACATAAAAATAACAGCAAACATTCGCATCCATTCCATGGTATATTTAGAGATTGATATATCCTTTCCCTGCGATTTTCGACTTACGTTTATAGACTTATTCAATCCTTTGTGTTTTGCAGGAGGCGATACGCGCACGGTTGCAGGATCTGACAGATGGTGCCAAGGGTATGACCATTTCGGATGACTACGACAAGACAGAGAAGGAGCGCATCGACATTTTCTACGAGCTGGTAAAGAACAAGCGGGATTCGAACCAGCTGGATGATGTGGCCACGCATAAGGAGCTGCTGATTGAGGCCGAGCGCTTGGATATTGTGAACAAGGCACCGCTAGTGCTGGCCGAGCTGCTCTTCACTGAGAATATCACGCACGATGTGAGGAAAAATCGCATTCTCCTGCTGCGCTTCACCCACAACAATCCGAAGGGTCAACGCTATCTGATCGGCGGCATCGAGCAGACGGTTGAATTGCATGCGAAGACATTGATGAGCAAGGTGGCTGGAATCTTCAAGATCTTCTACGATTTGGACATTCTGGACGAGAAGGTGATTCTTGAATGGGCCCAGAAGGTCAGCAAGCGTCATGTTTCGAAGAAGATAGCCACCGAGATACACGAAAGAGTTGAACCGTTTGTCCAATGGCTAAAGGATGCCGAGGAGGAGGACTCCTCATCGGACGACGATGATAATGCTTGCGGTGATTCAGATGTCGAAATCGAATATGATGATCGTGCCCGTGTCGAGCCCCTGAAGGTGGCAGCGGTCAGTGCCGCCGTTGCTGCTGTTAACAAGAAGAACGCCATGGAGGATGAGGATGGCGATGAAATAGACATTGATGAGATCTAAGCAGGGAGCACCAACATCAGTTTGTGGACAAGGGAATAGCCAAAATTTGTAATAGCACATGGTTTAGAAGGAATGGAAACAAATAGAAAATGAGGGAATAATAGAAAGACTAGGACTAGAAGCAAGGCAAGCACAGTGACGATTGGCAGGAAGCGACAAGCGAAAAGCGGGAAGCGAGTAGCGTGAGTTACAAGCGGCGGGCGATGAATTGCGAAGCAACAAATGGCGTGGCAATGCTATCAGCGAACAAAGATTAGCTGCCAAACGAGTTGCGAGTGTCGATTTGCTGGTGACTAAGGGCAAATTTGCGAGTAATTAGTTAGCTTGATAGGTGCACTGCATTCGATCAGCCAAGTTCTTTCGGTAATGAATCGCCCTATCTCACGACTTCACTACATTTCGATTGTAATCACATTTGCATTATCCTATATACCCATTTGTAACAATAAACACAAAATCTAAATTTAAATTAAATTGCACATATACAATACATCAATATGCTATATGCTATATATCTAGATAATAATGGCGCTGATCAACGTTTCCCTGTCCGAAATCCCAAATAACAACAACAAACTGCAGCAGCTACAACAGCAACAATATGAATAACTAATTTTTCTTCGGCTTTCAATTTGTAGTGTAATTTTTTTTTTTTTTTACAATTAATATTTCAATTATACATAAATTTTTTACTGATATCCTTTAGTTTAGCCCATCTCACGGTATAAATTTGTATTTCCCATTTTTCGATATACCAAATTCTATATATTTTTTTCTCTCTTTATATATATATATATATCTGTTTTAAATGTTTAATTAATTTTAAGTGCAGTACTTAAGCAAATCGCGATTAAAAGCAAGAAAAAAAGTTAAAAGAAAAGCATAAACAAAACATAAACTTTATACACATGCGACCAATTTTTTTTATTTTAAATTAAAAATTTTTTGTAAACACAAATTTGGCTTTCAATAAAATTATATATACGAAAAATATTAAAAAAAAAAAAAAAAAAAAAACAAGAAAATCAATTTTTAACGCAAAGCAAGAAATAACATGAAATATAACTCGCAAATTTTTTTCAAAAATTTATTAGGCAACAAAATGTTAAAAGTAAAAAAGTTACAAAAAAATATGCCTAAACAAGAAAAGTTAAAAACAAATTTACTAGCTGCATTTTTTGACTAAATCACTTGATGCTACGCAAAAAATGGAATGGAAAACTCCCCCTTGATATGCGAAAATTTTTCCTTAAAATAAGTTATTATTTAACTAAAAACAAAAAATGCAAAGACTAGTTTTTTGCAAAAAAAAAAAAAAAAAAAAAAAAAAAAACAAAAAATCAACAATATGCTATTTTGAAGAAATCTAATAAATAGAGACTTATGAAAATGTACAAAGCTTTTTGTTGACCTCATAAAACGTGAAGATTTGGTCAAATTTAGCGGTATTTCTTAAATGGAAGGAATATACTATTATGATTTTTTTTCCTTTAGATCTTCCAGCTAAGAAATCTTATAAAAATCTACTATTATCTATCTTGGTGTTCTTGATGTTCTTAGAGTCCTACTCAGTCCCCGATGGTAAACTGGCATATACCATTCACTACTTGATAGATTTATAGGATGTCCGCTTTAACATGAATTTCCATTTTGGGTACTCTGCAGATTTTCTTCGGTTTTTTTTTTTTGTTTTTGTTTTTTTAATTTTTAAATGATTCAAGATAATTAAATATAACAAAAAAACATTCAGGCCAAATAAATTAAACCTATAGGATTTTATTCATTTTTTTGTTGTACATATTTTTGCTTTAGTATCTAAAATATATATATAGATAAATATATATTTATCTATATATAAATATATATACACATGTGTGCAGGAGGGCTTGATTTGATCCAGGCATTGTACGTATGGTATACGATAATACTGGCTAATATGTGTTGTCCGCTAAACCGATTGCATACTGTACAAGAAATTTCGATGTATCCTATTTGAGGAACAGGGAGATGCAAACAAAAACTCTAGAAAACAAATGAAAATTGGGTGACAATAACATCATTCACTTCCGATCCCCGATCCGAGAATCGGGGATTTGGTATTGAAGATCAACGATCTGTGTAGGTGTAACAACAGTCTGTTTATGATCGGGTATTTGGTATTGATGGTTTCGGTGATCTGTGTAGATGTTCCCACCTTTGTCTGTCGATGATCCAGATGGGACCGGGTATTATGTATTAGTGATCGACTAACTGGTTTATTGTTCAACACTCAGCGTCTCCCGACGGCGGCAAAATGCGAGTGTCGCCTATCATTTTGGTCGGCTGGGTGTTGGTGGCGGGCAGATTGAGCGGCAGGTTGAGGGCTTTGAGTAGGCAGCCAAAGTCGACGACACGTCCTTTGTTTTGGAATGGCAGCTTGGGGCACAGCTCGAAGGCGTAGTTGATGGGCGGCATATCGCAGCCCTTGCTGCAGGAAATATCAATGAAGTTCATCAGATCGCAAACCTCAATCTCATCGCAATCATTGCGATTGAGCACCGACAATATCGTATCGATCAGTTCCAGCGTAAACGGCATACGGAAGCCACGCAACGTCGATCGCACCAGACTCTCGGACAGGAATGGCTTATTGGTTGGATTGATGTGATGGAAATGCTCCATCAGCTCATCTCGTCCATTCCATAACGAACGCTTGATCTCCAAATGGGCCGAGGCACGAACCTTCTCCCGTTCGCAGGCGTTTGGCGCCGCCTGTTCGCCGGAAAAGCGGCGACACAGTGTGACGATCTCATGATCGCTGATTTGATTGCCCATCAGAGCCACCAGGGCACCCTTGAGACTCTCAAATGAAATGAACACTGTGCGCTTCTCCAGTTTCTTTTCCAGATCTTGACAGTCGGGCACACAGCTGGAGACAAACTGTGACATACGCGGCTCCAGGGACTTGCGCACCTTCTCCAAGATCAGGTCCAGATTGCAATGCGTAAACTGGTCCGGATGATGCTCCATATACATCAATGTGAACTCATCTGCCGAGACCAGATGGAAGAGGAAATCCTTAATGGACATGGTGCCACCGATGTAGAAATTGCACGGCCTGTAATACTGGGGCTGTTTGCACGTGAACTTCTCCTGGCCGGGCATCAGGACACGAGTACGTTTCATGAAGACGCCGCCAAGGAAACCGGAATTCCGTACAGCTACCTCTTGCACTTGCATCGTATCATCGCTCATATAGTAGCTGATCACAAAGATCCGTTCGCAGTTCTCTCGTATTGTCGACAGCATCTTTGCGCCGAACCGAAGTACGTAACGATCGAATTTGATGAATTTTCTGAAATCAGTCTTCGGTCTCTTAATAACAATCGACATGCAATTGCCCGCCGAGTCCTCGTAAGTGCCCCAGCCATTGTAGGGTGGCAGCATACGTCCGGACTTGTCGTACGGCTTGCAGACATCCGATCGCGTCGGCATTGGCAGTGGTGTAAACTGCTCAATGCCATAGTTATCTCGATAGTACTGCCTGGTAAACGGATCCATGTCCGTGATGACCACGGAGCGGCCATAAACGTTGAGCACAGTGCCGATCTGCAGATCGCGCTGATTGTAATAGAGAATCTCCTTGTTACCAATATTGAGCGGATCAATACAGTAGCGAACATTTCGATTCGTTCCAAGCACATTTAGCAGGGTTTGCGGTGTCTGTTGGCCAGGCAGCTGCATGCCATCAAATTCCTGTGGAAGAACCAAATTATTGATCTCGTAAATCCATCGAATGATCTTTAAAGCTTACGCGTTGCAATTTCCCGCGCTTGAGAAACACGCTCGGGCCATCGCGTCCCGAGTTCCGTATGTGAGCCTCCTTCACCTCGATGGTATCGTCGGCCAGGTAGTAGCAGACCTCCAGCTTACGCACATCGCCCATATCAGTGCGATCGTCCCAATAGGCTTGAAATTTGAGTACCTGGCGATCATACTTGAGGAACTGAGCAAACGGATGCTTCTTCTCCGGCGGATTGCTGGCTCGTGCCGGGACACGGTTGCGAACCGCCTCAGAGGGATCACTAGAATATTTTAAATAATCATATATATATATATATATATATATATATAAAGGCTGATTAGCTAAACTTACACGGCTGCCATGACGGGGTCGGGCACCACAATGCCCCGTTTATTGAGAAAAGTGCGTGTGAACGGATCGCAATCGTAGATGTGATAGAATCGATCAAAGATCTGCACCGTTGTGTCCACATTGAGATCCGTAATCGCTAGAAATTCGTTATCACATGGCGGCGGCTTTGGCACCCGCTGACGATGCAGCACACATCCCTGCACAATACCCGAATTTTGGACCTTTGGCTCGTGAATTTCCACAGTGCCATCTTCCAGATAATAATAGAGTTTCACATGTCTAACCATATAGGGGGCATGGAAGTTTTCCTGCAGTGTCTGCTTAAAATAGGCTTTGAAACTAAGCACCTTCTTATCATATGCCAGCCATGGCGGTAGATGTGGTCCCGTTCGTGGGGGATATAAGGCATGAGCATTGGCTGGGGGGCAGCTAATGTCGACTACAACACCGGCGGGATCCACGGGCATCGAGTTCTGCCGATCGCTGAGCATCGGAATACCACGAAAGTTGAGCAACGTTTGTGATTTGGGATAATACACTTTATTAACCTAACCAAGCAAAGAGCAGAAAACCGTTAATTTGTTCAATTAAAAACCATCTTTATTGGTTACTCACTTCACGAAAGAGGGTCCCTGGTAGGAGGGGCATGCCTGGTATGCGCAACATCTTGAATAATTTTTATTTTGTATGATTCTGTTCAATAGATTTTTTCACTTGTGTATATATAAAATATATTTATGAAGTAAAATATTTTTGTTTCGTGCGACTGATTGTGTAACACGCCCAATACTGAGCCTTTTCTCACACACATTCGACTAAAACGACTTACAACACGCCTACTATACAAAAAGAAAATATCAACAAAAGCAGTAGCGATATCACTTTGATTTGAATTTTATTTCAAATGTTGAAAAGCACGCGCGATATATTGTGACTGCTGCTAGCCTACTATATATCGATAACACCTATTATTAAGCCTCAGGCCATATCGATAGGAGCTGCATTACAGCTGTTGACAAATTGTAATCGCAGCGAGCGCATGCTCTGGACACTTTCTCTCTCTTTCACTCACTCTCTACTACTCTCACCCATTCAGATTCTAATGCTAGCAGATGTTTTGTTATTCTTATTGTTGCTGTTGTTGCTATAGTTCTTGAAAGAAACTGCGGAAGCTTATCAACTACAGCATCATGTTTGTGCAAAACACAAAAATATGTACCATCACTGCTATGATTTATTATAATTAAGGCTGGGAGCCAAACGTACAATCAGCTTATCATCAAATCACAAAACCTTCGTTTCGGAGCACAAACGCAATTTGGGCATTTGTCTTCGGTTAGGGTAAATACGTTTCG